AGAAAAAGATGAGAGAAAACCCACCAGCCACTGTAGCTGGCAAAATCCATGGCACAAAGATGGTTAACAAAGAAATTTGCCAACCCAGTCATACCAATTGGGGCCACCTATAGCTAGGTGTGTTAGTAACTAAGAGAATGTGCCGGCAGATGTGCTTCTCTACCAGCTGGCTCCACAGCATGATGCCTAACACACACTTCCTTAGGATAGAAAACTGCTTGTAGCGCACTACCTTGGCCTTAGGAACAACAGCTAGATTAGGGGGTTTCCAAGTTTAAAAACTTAATATCCCAAATTTTCCTCTCAGCCTAGCCTACCGTGCACTGTATAAAAATATGCTCTTTGCTCATAGATGTAACGCATGATGTAAAGTTTCACCATCACTGCACTTTAAAAAAAAAAAAAAAACCTCCGCTAAATGGGTTTATAGGGATATCAAGCTGATGTACAGGCAGTTTGAGACTTAGGCTTGGTTTTGTTCAAGTCCCACACCCATTCCTGAGACTGTTTGCCAACTGCTGTATATTTGGAAAAAGACAAAACAAAACAAAACTACTCCTAACACATTTGCATACCTTTTAAGTTTGTGCAGTCTCCTTCCCTGCTGCTGAGGAAAGGAAGGACAAAGACTACACTCCAGGAGATTGACATATGCACAACTGAAGGAAGAGAAAAAAATTTTCCCCTTCTGACCTTCAGTGTTGTATGTACACCACCAAGTTCAAAAGATTCAGACAGAAGAAATAAATATGTTATCACTGTCTTTTTAGTTATTCCAAACTTAATATCCTCATCCCTGTAACAGAGCTGCTTACCTCAAGTTTGGAGGCAATGAATAATGAGGTAATTCCTATGAGCTGAAGCATGCTCTTGTTAATATTTTTTTGTGTCAACATGAATCTATCAAAAAAGTCTTGAGCTAGGTAGAAGGTTTCCCTGTGGAGTGCATACACCTCGCATACCTACAACAGGGAAAAAAAAAAACAAACAAACTATTCAGTTTTCTGTTAAAAAACTTTATGTACACACATTGAAGTGTTCAAGCTTTAATAGTAAAGCACAATATGCACAATTTTATCTTTTGCACACACAAACCATCACATACCTAGGTGCAGTAGGATGTAGCGGTTAGCATGGGACTGAGAAAAGCATTTCCCATGCTCCCACCTAAAGGTGGATTGTCTATGATGCACTAACATACTTCCAAAGTATACCTTTTCCAACCTAAATAGCACCCAGTTTTCCTGAGTACAAACAATTTCCCACTGAAAGCAGAAAGCCTCATGGGTTGGGGGTGGGGGAAACACAAAACAGCAAAAAAACCCAAATAACTTCCTCGATTAAGAATTCTCTGTGCAGTCACAGAGCAGATCCTCCCTGTATTCCTAGCAGGTCTATCCCAGGGCAGAACCACTAAAAAAAAAAAAAATTTGCAGTCTTTGGCTACAGCAAGTAAACCTGGAAGCTCCTGCCCGCGGAGACTCTGCTGGCAAGCCAGGAGTGCTGCCTGCAGCCCCTCAGGCACACCGACTGCCTCGCTAAGCAGGAACAAAACTGCAAGAATGGCCATCTGCTCCATACAGTTGCGGGTTTCCCTGGTAGGGAAAACTTTTAATACTTGCATTGTATCAAAGTAGTTCAAATGCCAGTTCAACAAAAAAGGAAAGGAGACTGCCCGGGCCTGGAGACCTTATGCAGGAGCCTAATTTTTCCTTTCTAACTGAATTCGGGTGGGACTACCACAACTCCAGCTCATCTGCAACTCTGCATCCCTTCCACAACTAGAAACTAGTTAGATATCTATAAATTACTTAACAATCTATGTGCAGCCAACAGGAAAGAATATCCAAGAAATAGATCCCAAGTCCAAGCTTTCTGCCCTGCTTCATTATATCACTTGGACACAGAGTCAGAATAAAATCTCACTACTACTAGCTATTTCCTAAAATAAGGTTGAAAGTCTGTGTGCAAATTAAAACCCTTCCTGACCATCAAAAATGCAACTGGTTGGCAGTAACACCCCAGCTCATTCTTTTAGACCTGATCTAATATTTGCCAATTGACATGCTACTCTGATATTATTAACTATTGCTCCAAACAAGACCCAGATCTAAAAACGTACAGACAAGCCCCACCCATAAATAAATGGCACAATTTCTATAAAAGTGTATTGCCCAAACATAAACAATAATGCTTGGTCATGTTAAATAGTATCTCAGCTATGATATTACAGAAGACAATGTTAGGAGCTGCTTGAGGACTCTCAAAGTTGCTGGGATTTTAATTCACTGTGGCATATAGAACCACTGAGCTGAACAACAACAAGGCCCTTGTTGACATTTTTGTTTGGAAACTGGACGATTTCCTAAGACTCCAAGATTTTCAAAAGAAAACAACAAAACATAACTTAATGGTGGTATGTAAATTACACATTAAAGGAAGTAGGGAAGTGCACAACTGGAATAGTTTTTATACTCAGACAGTATTTAAAAAAAAAAAACCAAAACAAAAAACAAAACACACACAAAACCCCCCACAATCCTTTCTTTTCCCTTGAAATTCCCTGCTATTAGCACTGTTCTACCAAGACAACAAGAGTGCCACTGTAACATCTGCTTCCTCGGAGTACTCGATACGGAACTGGTAAACCTGCTAGATCCCTTCTGCTGATGGGCAAGGATTGCATGCATCAAACATTGCTTTTGGCAGTGGCGACTGAATACGCTTAATATAGATTTCTTGGAAACGCCTCCAGAACATAGCTCTCTGTTTACAACACTAATACTCCTTCACATAGGCTGCCAAGATTGAGAGCTTCCATTTTGCTTGACAACTGGAATACCCTGAAGTACAGCAATTAGACTGGAATATGGATGATTTATTTGTAATTGTTTTCTGACAGGAACCTGTCTATATCAAGAGCTTTCAGATGTCAGGCACTAATGCACTACTTTCTTTTGCTCACTTCGTAAGACAGAAATTAAAAAAAATCACTAGCAAGTCAGAAAATAGTATCAGGGGCTGACATCTAAGAGCTCTTGACATAGATAGGGCGAGGGTGATAATTAAAGGCCTCAATACAGATGCAGTTGTCTCATAGCTTAGATACAGCCTAAGATGTAAAGTTAGAGCTTCATATACTGAAATTGCTCTAGAAAGATTAGTTAAGTGTCTCCAAACTAGATTTCTCCCCTTCCCAGGAAAGAAGTGTGGTAAGAGCAAACATTCAGTACTGTTGCTTGCTGCCCTGTGTGGAAGGTTCAGCATCTCCTGCCAGGGAAGACTGAATGCAGCTCACCAAGAGGATCAAAAGCAGTAACTTGTAACCCTTTTGTTGCAAACTAGTTTTAGCATTTACCATACAGTAAATTTTGTTATTAGATCTTTTATGTAAAAGCTGTGCTTTTATCTGCCTACTTCACAGGCATAACACATGACAAAGTAACTAAAAGAACACACCTCTAAGAGCCAGTCTAACAGTATTGATCTCATATGAGGTTGCAAACTAGAATGTAGCGATGTGAAATGTTTGCAATGAGCGTATCTGTTCTCCTTCTTCAGGATGTTGAGCCAGACGTCTTTGGAATTTCCCCAGCTACAGAATAAAGTTACACAAAACATTGTTAATTATATATACACCTTCACAAAAGGAGTACAAAAACATTATTTATTGTTTACAGATATTCAGGAACAAAAAAAAATAAAAATTCCGCATACTGGAAGATCCCTATGGTAATTAGAAAACTGCAGGTATACTTTGAACATGTAACATTACCCCAACAGCAGCTTGCCAAGGTCATCAGCAAGTCCAGCCTTATAGAACAGGCAATAAAACTGAATGTGTACATCCCAAAGTTGCACATACAAACAGTTTCCTATTTTGCCTAGTTAGGTGACTGTCCAGAGAGCAAGATAAAAACCAAACCCTCCTCATAAAAAAAAGGAAAAAAAACACCACCCCACTCCCCAAGAAACAAAACATACATGAAGTTGTCTCACTTAGTTTGAGAAAAACATTTACAGACAGTGTTTGAAAGTCACTCATCCATCTCTTCCTTTTCTAGCCTACCCTAAGAGAACCCTGTGAGAAAAACTGAGTTCTTTTTTATTGCTAACTTATGATTTATTAGCATTCGAGTCTACTTAGGAAGAAGATGCCTATAACATTAATATGTCTTGGTTTTAATTTGTAATTATTGTTATTATGAATTGACATGGTTAGTCAAGGCAGTGCTGATTTCCTACTGTAATTTTTGGAGTTAAATATTTACCTTTCCCCACGCAGAAGCAGAGAGAGATTAAACAGACCTGATCACTGGTATCACCTACAAATTCTGACCCAGATCAGTTCTATTCTGCCACCATTGTAAGTTAAAAGCTGGAGAAACATTTGCTTGTTTAAAGTACAAGTCTCCCCATTTAAGTGAGCAGGTATCGAAAAAATCTATTATGATCTTCCTGCAGCAGTTAGAAAAGCATGAAGAAGGCAGCAGAGAGTAAATGATCCTCTTATTGAGCTAATTGGAAAGGGTGGAGCTCAGCTTTACCAGATACCTATCGACAGGAGGTGAACATCAAAGATTAAACTCCTTGCATGGAATTCTGTATCTGAACGTATCTTTGGGATCCAGCATTTTCCTACAACTTGGTAAAGAAGTGCAAGAGATTCCCTCATTCATAATATTTTTTAAATCAATATTATTATTTTTACAAATCTCCTTCGCACTAAGCTTTCCAACACATACAAAAACATGGTTTGCCAGGTATAAAGAAGAGCATACTCTTCTTCAAAGCACAGCTCAGCATGCTGGCTTGGGAGTAATACTGTGAGGGAAGTGCAGGCGAGTTTGAAACTCAGTGAAAGAGACTGTAAGAGACCTATTGCTTTGCTCTGAGACAAAACATCACCATGCAGCAGCTCCCAGTTCTGATCAAGTTTTGGCCAGAACAAATGAAAACATGGTGTATCTAGAAAGGTTCTCTTAAAGTAATGCTTCATGTTCCGCTTCTCTTCTCATTCACCTCAGCAGAAGTTTTCCCTCATGCATTGCAGCAAATTTAGCAAGTCTTTCATTAAACACCAGGCTAATACAAACAGCAACCAGGATACTTACCTAACACACCTGAACGGCTAAGAAATTCAGAAATTGAAAAGTCCGATTTAGTCAGCTAATCTATCCCTCTGCAGAAGGGAAACTTTCTACTACTGTGACTGCACCAAGCGTACTGCATCACATTAACAAGCTACCTGCACAGCAATATTGCCACAAGTTTATTTGCATATTTGTACATTTTTAAGTTCTTGAAGAAAACTTTGCTTGCTATTTTTCAGTCAGTTCCAATAGCACTGAAAGTTTAGTTTAACCATTATGTGCCCCTTAACCACTTAAAAGTCTTCAGTGTTAAGTTATAAGAGGACAGTTCTGAAAGGAAAAAGTTATCTGTCCAGTGCATTTATAAGATTGGGTGGAAAAAAAAAAACAAACCCAGAATGTCTTTTTTTTGTTTTGGACATTGGAACTGTTTGTGGGATGAGGAGACAAGAAGTATGGGTTGAGTACCACCCACTATTATACAAACACAATACAACAAGAGATTTTACTACAGTAGTTCAGCATATTTGATAAAGCATCAACAACTGCTGCATCTGGTAAACTTACTTGAGTTCTGGCAAAGGTGATGGATTTATGAAGAGGTTTCTGAACCTGTATTTTTTGAATCTGGAGAAGTCAGTGGTTACCGATTCTTTGTGAGGTGTTTCAATAATTATGCAAGGCGAGATGCCTCCTGTTATCATGGGCGGCCAACAACTCTGCAACATAAACAAGGGATCTTTTAAATACTGATTTTACTATGAGAGCAAGAAAGGCGAGAAGTAGATTATAGTCACAACAACAATATATGTAATGTATGTTAGTCTTTTTGGACCTCAGCATCAATTCAAGTACTGAAACCAAGACAGACAGAGATTAAATGCCAACAAAGCCTTTCACTGTCAAGACAGAACATGTGTAAACAAATTTGATAAATTTGGCAAACCCAGTTTTGAGGAAGACAACTGTCTTTAGTTTATAAACCCACAAATAATCAATCCATTGCTTGAGCAAAGTTACGGTACATAAAGCAAAGGTACTCATTGTTACTAAAACACAGGACATCAGGTTGCTGGTCCTATCTACATATCTACTCAGAGGGAAAAGAAAAGAGAGGGTGGAGGTTCTACTGTCTCTCAGTGGAAATTCAGCAACTTGTTATCTTCCAATTAAGCACTCCAGAGAGGAGCCACCCATCTCAGCTCCAGAGCTAGATACCCAGTGAGCAAGCAGCAGCTGTGACCTATCTCTCAGTCGGCCAATGCCAAATAAGGGATACATTGGCTCAAAAGGAGAAGAGCCCGAAGTTATTCACGCAGAAAGCTTCAGAGAAGGAATTCTAGATTACTTCAGTTAACTCTGTAACTTGTTTCACTAATACTTACTTGGTTGTACATAACCAATACAAGTAAGGAGGTATCACATGCATGGAGCATATGCAATGCTGTAATGGCTGACAGCCTTCAAAATGGTGACACCAAACTTTAATTATGCTCTGTGGAGTTAGGGGGGATCCCATTCCCAAAGAATGGCAACACCTACCCTGAACACAGAAACTTTTCCTATATAGCTGTTCTGCAAGCTAAACTACATATGATTTCCTTACTATATTTAAACCTATTCATAGCCAGACTAAAGTACCCTAAGAGTGAAGTTACACACTCCAGCAGAATTGATCTTAACAGCACACAGCCAGGAGAAAAGGGAGATCCTGCTCCTTCTTCTCTCCTGTGATCTTCACTGCCTGAGTCCCACCTCTTCCTTTGTTTGTCAGCTTTGATACTTTCCCAGACTCTCTGCTGGGTTGATTCAACTCACTAACCCAGCAGAACATTAACTCTTTTTGTAGTGCCAAATTAGCAAGCTGAACTTGTATACCACTTCATTTAAAGAGAACCAAAAATGGAGCAAGGCAGGAGAAAGGAGTACATGGCCAGCTATCAAGAAAGGAAAGAAGGGGGAGCAGGATTTCCCCCCTTTCGGCAAAGGTAAGTTGTGACACACAGTTTCACCCCAAGTACAGCTGACATACTTATACAGCATTTTTCCCTACACAAAGTTTGCAAAGACATTTTCACAATCAGAAGCATTTTGCTTCACCATAGCCATTAGTCTCTTATGTTTTACAAACAAGATTGTTCACAAGAAAGTTACATTATTTTACTAAGCCACTTTAAAATAAACAACTGTAAAGCCGCTCACCTGGTTTAGGAGTAGCCTGTGATAGTTAAAATAGATTCCTAAATCGATCTAAATAATCAAAAGAACTGTTAAATGAAAGTAAAGAGGGCCTGCATGGTTGTGAGTCTTCTTAACTAAATGGCCGTGAAACCACACCTTAAGTTAAAACAAGTGCAATGATCTTGTTTAGACTTGCCTCTAGGCCTTACCTGCTCTGCATGTGGAATTATTCTGAAATACACGGTTTTACTCTCATTTTTACACCTAACCTTACCCTGCAGTGGTTTCCACATGGAAGGACCCTTTACCTGCGATAAAGCCATACGTAAAAAAGCAAAAACCTATGAAAAGATGCTAAGGTGCAGAGCTCCCACAGTTTTTAATATCTGAAGGTAGAAGCTTCCCCTATTGAATATTTTATAGTGTGGAATGCACGACTTCACACCCACCAACATAAGCCAGATGGACTCCCTCACCTAGTTTGAGCCATTAACCAAGATTGAATTACCTTAATCTCATATTGATGCTTTTTAGCAATTTTCCCATCTTCTCTTTTCTTAATCTCCTGCTGAGAAGAGAGATATGCATCAGTACACTGACGGCGACCAGCATACCCACCTCTAAAGCTAAAGCAAACTGTTGCTACTCCTGCCCCACTTTCTAACTTAAAGATTCTCCCATCCAAACTGCTACTCCTGCCCCACTTTCTAACTTAGAGTAAAGATTCTCCCATCCAAATGCACTGAGGAACTATCAATATTATTAAACTTTTCAAGTTGCCCAAACTGGTCACCTCTGCTGTTCTCCTTTTTCTGGTCTGGAGCTGTTCTGATGCCTGCAGTTCTTGTGGAGACTCTTCTTGACATGACAGTGGCTGCTGCTGCTTGGCTTGCAACCGGCTACTGCAAAGAGCAAAAAGAAATTAGACATTAGGAGAGCAGTTGTTAGATGAACGCAGATAAGCTTGGTGTATTACAATGCTAACAGTTTACCTGCGTCTTGACATCTTCTTTGGGTCGTAAGATCTCTACCTAGACCAAAGGAACAACATTAACTCAGTTAATGTATCCTCAAGAAGTTAGGACCATGTTCTGTACTTTGCATCATAAGAAGTATCACAGAGAACAGCATGGTTTACATGACCGAAACAGAGGGGCACAAGTATTTTACTGTCGTGAGGAACGCCTGAGCAGGGGACGGCTGTGCCATATAACCACAGGCAACTCCACATCCTGCTGGGAGTCTCCCTGCTGAAGTGGGTGACACAGGGATGCCCACACATGCCAGCAGTCAGTTTGGCTCCTCTAGCCTGGGGTGGGGACAGGGGGTGGAATCTGTAAAGGGACATTTCCCATTCAAGAGGATGTGCGGGGGTCCCCGGAACTGTGACACACACCCCCCCC